ATTTGGAAGAGGGATTTCAAGGGAACTTCATTGAGGTAAGGAATTTGGACTTAAAACTCGTTCCTATGCTATTATTACACGGATTAGAGCTATAAATCATGGAAATTAAGGGTGAAAATTGGGGAAACTAGGGCTTGGAAACTTAGACCTTTAATTGAGGACTTGAAGGACCATTTGGGGTCGAATTTGAGAACTTTTGATATGTATGAACTCGTGGGGAGATATGGAACCTATTGATGTAAAAATTATTGAATTCCGAGACGTGGGTCCAGGAGTCGGGTTTTGGTAATTTCGGGATTCTTGGTATTATTTGATTGTTTTCGCTTGGGCTTCGTTCCCTTAGCATATTTTGACGTCGTGATTCACATTTTGGATAGATTCGACGCGAGTGGAGGCCGATTCGAGAGGCAAAGGCATCGTGGAGTAGTATTTTTACCGGTTTGAGGTAACCATTGTAAATCTGGAACTGAGGGTACAAACCCCGGTATTTGACTTGTTTTGATATATGCGATGACGCACATGCTAGGTGACGAGCATGTGGGCGTGCACCGGTAGGTATTGTGATTTGGTTCGTCCCGTAGCGACTATTAAGCCACGTATTTGATTTGGAAATGTTATATTATTCCGTATTTTGGATATTTATACTGTATTATGGACTGTATGTCATGTTTGTGGCTCTGTGCCAACCTGTAGAAACCCTTAGGGGCATTTCGACTATTTTTCCTCACATTACTTGCTAAAAACATATCCTCAGTCATGTCTTACCTGTTTAAATGTTTAAAACTGATTTTATCTTTCCACTTCTAATTGTGAGGACTATTTGGGCTGAGTTCCCTAATTTCTATTATTGTGCCTGAGAGGCTGTGAAGTTAATGACTGAGAGAGGTTGAGACCCTAATAGTGAGGATATGATATGTATATATTATGGATCGGGCTACACGCCGTAATGATACTTATATGGATCAGGTTGCACGCTGTAGCAATATATATATATATACTAGATCGAGTTGTATGCCACAACGATATGTATATTGGATCGGGCTGCACGCTGCAGTGATATGACGCTTGGGTTGTAGGAGCCCCTCCGGAGTTTGTACACCCCTAGTGAGCGTAGTCAACTATAAATTATGGATCGGGCTGCACACCGCAGCGGTTACTATGATTATTACTATTATGAGATATTAATGAGCATGAGTGATGAGAGTGAGTACTGAGTGACGAGAGTTGAGTCACAAGTGACCGAGAGGCTGCCTGAGAGTCCATATTCTGAGTGATTCCTTGCTCGAAGGGCCATTTATGATATTTCACTGATTTCACTCTTCTTTTGAAATAAGCCTCTGTTGAAAAGTGGCTAAGTAAAAGATTTTAAGTATTCCAATTGAAATTGAAGTTTTTATGACGAAACTGGTTTTTTTAAACTGTGGAGTTCGATCTGTTATTCTATTGTTTACTCTTTTATATGATTTTAAACTGCTCGTCACTGCTTTCAGACCTTATTTACTTTAGTTACTTACTGAGTTGGCGTACTCACGTTACTCCCTGCACCTTGTGTGCAGATCCAGGTGCCCGAGTGGCAGAGTGAGAGTCCTCAGCTGATTTAGAGGTTGCCGGAGATTTCAAGGTAGTTGCATGGCGTCCGCAGCCCTGTTATCTCCTTCTTATCTTGTTCTACTTCCACATTTTGCTAGACTTTTGTTGTATCAGACAACAAGTTATGCAGTAGAGGCTCTAGACTCGTGACACCAGATATTTGGAGTTGTGTTATCTTATGTTTTATTGGATTCCGCATTATTTTAGTTGTTTTAAACACTTCTTATGAAAACTAGTATTTAGTCCTATGTTGGAAAAATGGTTGTATAAAAGAAATTCGATGTGATTGATGGTCTGGGTTGGCTTGCCTAGTAGTGTGATAGGCGTCATCACGACCGGGTTCGAGTTTAGGGTCGTGACATACTTGATATTCCTCACAGCATGTTCCCCTTCCCATCTTTAACTGCTAGTTCCCGTCATTATTACTTGTCGTATATGTTTTAACTGCATAGGTTTATTTGGTAGTCTTGTCCTAGCCTCGTCACTACTTCGCCGAGGTTAGGATCGACACTTACCAGCACATGGGGTCGGTTGTGCTGATACTACACTCTGTACTGTGTGCAGATCTCGGTACTGGAGCTTTTGGACCTTAGAGTGGTTGCTGCCTTCAGTCCAAAGGAGACCCGAAGTAGTCCTGCAGGTGTCCGCAGGCCTTGGCGTCCCTTTCTATCTTTTATATTCTGTTTTCATTTACTTCAGAGACAGATTGTATCTTTCTTTTCAGACAATTGTTTGTAGTATTCGTAGATGTTCCGTGATATAGTGACACAGTTCTGGGTAGAGTTGTATTTTGAATTTTCGCACTAGTATGTGGTTATACTGTCAGACTTCGTCTTCCGCATTTCTTTTGTTATTATCATTATTTCGTTGTTGATCACATGTTACCTTAAAAATTATTAAAAGGTTAAGAAAAAGGATAATAAAATCTATAACGCTCGGCTTGCCTAGCTTTCACGAGTATGCGTCATCACGACTCCCGAGGGTGGGAAGTCCGGTCGTGACATTTAGAGTTTTAAATATTTAATTGCAGTTCTTAATTTTATCCAATAAAAATTTTGCATTGTTGAAGAGTAAAAAATTAATCTGATATTGCACTGTTAAATTTATGAGTTGATAGATCTTTTATATTATTAAATATTTTTTTAGCAATTTATCTTATTATTGATTAATGTACTTTTCAAAGAATATACAAAAAAATATCTAGAAAGCTAGAATTTAATTGTAATTAGAATTTCAAAAGTAGGTATAATGTGTATTCTCATTGAATAACATGAAAAATTAGAAAATAAAATCCACTCAAATTCATTTACTTCTCTAGTGTTATATCATTAATTTTGATTAGGCTTTCATGCTTAGTCATAATGAAACATACATAAATTAATGTTCTAAAATATTATCTATAATTACAAATTTGCTTAAACTTTTTTTGCACTAATTGTAATTAAAGAATATTAATTGTTTGAGCTCTTTTTTCTTACCTTGGTAAAAACAAATATAGAGAGAAAAGATTATTTGAAAGTACTTTGAATATTTTTATACTAAAATTAGTACATACAAATGATACTTTTCATTGGCCAACAACAATTTACTACCTATTCTAAGTGGTAAATTTTGTTTTTCGAAAAAAAGGAAATGTTTTGTTTAGTTTTTTTTCATGCTTATAGCACACAAGGAATATTTAGTATATAAAATTGAGTACGTTAGGCCTCGTCACATAGAAGTTCAAACAAGGAATATTTAGTACATAAACTTTTAGTTGATTTGGAACTCCTAAATATTAGTGAAATAATGCACAAAAAAAAGTTGATTTAGAATTCTTAAATATTAGCAAAATAGTTAAATTACTATTTTGTCTAATGTGAAATCTAATCTTAAAGAGTAAAAAAAGTGAACAACATTTCGTTAAATGCCTTCGTGCTTTTAATATGTACTAGTTTTGGGGTACGTGCGTTGCACATGTAAGCCGCGTTTGTTTGTAAGAAATTATATATCACGTGAATGAATTATGTATAATAGTAATTGATGTCAAAATAGATTCAACATGAAACTGAAATGAGAACATCAGTGTCATTACACTCTTGTAATAGATGGATTTAAATATGGTTAATATCTTCTGAACCTTCAAATATAAACACTACAATTAGTTAAGGTTGTGATATGTATAACATTTGTAATTACAGATAATATATTATATGAGTTAATAACATGTTATGTTGTTGTATCTTACCTAATATCTCTTTGTAGACAATATTCTTGGTGTATGTGCCCCTTCGTCTCTTTGGTTGCTTTGTCATGACCAAGATTTTTGTTGTTGACATCGATATACCTCTTGATAGTGCGACATATAGTTGTCCACGTGAAAAAATATGTTGAGGCAAGTACAATCCAACGTTGGGTATTGTTTGATCCTGTGCTTTGTTTATTGTCATTGAAAAACATAAACATACTGGATATCCTTCAGTACTGGAAATTATTTTTTGAAATTGTTTTTTGATGAATTTAAATGGATATCCTTCATTTTCTGGCGGCGAAAGTTGAATTCTTGGAATAAACACATGTTTGAAAGCATTTTGCCCCATCATTATTCTGCATGTATAATGTTGTTGTCAAAACCTCTGCATTTCATTCATGTACCATTGCATAATCCGTTTGAAGGATCCAAATTTCTTAGTAGCATGATTGGTGCATTTTTCTTCAAAACCAACGTGTATACCATTATAAATTAATTATATATATTGTATGTAATGACGCATGAATAAAAATAAAATAGAGTTATAAAAAGTAGACTTAGGATCTTTTGTTGTATAATTTTCAGAAGTCCATGTCTTTAATATTAGTATTATAGTTTTTTTATAATTTTTTATAGTCCTTTTATTTTTTTGCCAAAGATTATTACGAGAACTTCAATTGGAGTACTTATTCTTTTCATATGGCATAAATAATTTCAGCCACGTCTTTATATATATATATATATCATTTCTCAAGGATGGATAAAAGAAGATCTGCAACATATATACCTGTTTTATATAATATGCATAGGTTTGCTATTGTCTCAAAGTATATACAATGGTGTTAATAATCAGAAAGCATCAAATTTCAAGTTCACTAAAGGAAACTGGAGAAAGTTATAACTAATGAAGAAATTTAAATAATAGTTAAATAGCTTAAATAATTTTGGCAAATGTAATGCATTAACTTTACTTAGCCAAGAAACAATTTGAAATGTAAGAAAGCCCGGAGAGCATATGACAATTCGAACCAAAAGAGAGAGCATGTCAGTTGAATTTGTAGAAAAATTCCAAAAAATCAGTCTGACAACGTACCCGTGTGGTGGAAGGCCATTTGGTGTTAAAGTATTTAGGTGCTCTTTCTGGTAATAGTTGTTTGTATCATCCTTTGCAGAGTCGAAACTAATAAATGTTACTTTCGCCAGGAAACTTGAAAATTAACTTCTCATTTAGTTGATCAATATATTCATTTCTGCTTGCTAAAATAGCTCTTTCTGTCATGTATTTGTAGCAACTTGCATTTTTATCTAATGACGGAAATATTTCTCTTATTAAGCAGTCTTTGGCAGTACTATTAGCAATATGTTTGACAACTATTTCTTCTGGAAGTTGTACCAAATTGTCTCTTATGGTTGGTTCCTCCCCGTCACCGATGCGTAGTAGAAAATCACTGAATGCGGGATCTGTTCTTGCCCTCATATTTTTTGTTAACTTAATCTTTTCCATTTTATGCCACAAGTACGATTTTACTAAGCTTGCATTTATTGTTTCAGCTCTCGTAGATTTTGGGACTACCGGTAGTACTTGTCGAAAATCACCTCCAAAAACCATTACCTTGCCTCCAAATGGTTCATCGTTATCCATTATATCTCTAAAGCTCCTGTCAACAGTTTCAATTGTTTGACGCTTTGCCATAGGTGCTTCATCCCAGATTATCAACTTTGCTTTTCTTATCAATTTTGCACTACCACTCTGTTTTGACATATTTGTGATTGTCGTATCAGTTGTTTGAAGTGGTATGTCGAATTTAGAGTGAGCAGTTCGACCCCCCGGTAAAATTGCTACTGCTACACCACTTGTTGTTGTTGCTAGTGCTATCATGCTTCTTGATCTGACATTTACAAGTAATGCACGATAAAGAAATGTTTTTCCGGTTCCTCCAGGTCCATCTACAAAGAACAATCCTACTATTCCAGAGTCTACTCTTTGCAATATAGTCTTGAAAGCTTGCTCTTGTTCTGCATTTAACTTTGATTGTGCGTCGAAATCTTCTGCAGGTATCTTTGTAGACCTTTCTTCAATTATTTCCCGGCACTCTGATAGACTATTATTATCCAGGTCCTGATTAGCTGCAGGTATGTCAAAGTTTTGAATTCTCTTGCTCATGCTCTCTAAGAAATATTTGATGCTTTTCAGTGTGCATTGTAGTTGAGTAGCAGGAGAGTTATCATGTATCCTTCTAAAATCCTCTGACATGTCCTCGTAATATGTATCCCACATCTTTCTAACATCCATTGAATTACAATGAACCAAAATAGTTGCAAACAAATTTCTGAGAGCTAATGGCATTTTGAAGAGGTCTGCCTCATGTAAACATTCCGAGATGTTGTTGTCTGACTCTAATAAACCTCTTTCTTTTGCAGCTTCCTTGAATGTGTCACACTTTTTTCGTTAAAAGTAAGTATTTGAACAAAGTGGGCCCTTTGATATGATTCAACAATACTCTCAAGTAATACCTTTCTCCTTCTCTGGGGTTAGCTATATCATTGAGAGAACCAGAATAGATTAAATTAAACAAATGTGAAAATAGTATTAAGAGCGCAAGCATTAAATGACTTACCAGCAGCGACACGACCAATTGCTGATCTTGTTTTCCTTTTTGTCCATATCTTGCCTTGAGAGTTCCAAACATAATGCTCTGGAAATTCTTTGTATAGGTAAGCTCGTGCTTCTGTGTCTTATGAGCATTTCTCAAAATATGTTGTGAGCATGGTGCGTGTAGCGTAGTCCCATGCTATAGCATTTTGTAAATTTTGTTTGCTCCAATAGTACACTAATTATTGGTATTCACTACTAGAAATCAGGTAATTTTCGTCCGCTATTTCCGACCGATTTCGGTCGGAAATTGATAATTTCTAACCAAATTCCAACCTATTTTAATTGGATGGAAAAACAATGTTCGCAAACATGTACCGACAATCAGTTGGAAATTTCCGACCGAAGTCGGTCGGACACTTCAAAGCGTTGACTGACTGTCAAATTTTAATTTCCGACAGAAATCGATCGGAAACTATTAAATAATTTTTTTTAATTTTCAAATTTCCGATCAAAATCGGTCGGAAACTATTCATTTTCAATTTTTGACCGAATTCGATCGGAAATTTTAAAAAATAATAGTTTTATTTAATTAAATAATTAGTTGTAAATTGTAATAAATTGTTAATTTATTTATTAAAAAATAAAGATAAATTCAATTCGGTCTTTAATTTTGAATTTCTAAAGAAAAAAAAAGACATTTCCCATCGGTTTTCAATAACAAAATACTACCCATTAGAGCTTAAAACAACCAAAGCAGTCCTCATTATGAACTACTACCAATTAAAAGTAATACAATTAGTGGAATATTAATTTGGAATGCAACAACATGGCTATCAAACCAGCCAAACAAGCTTATAAAATAATAAATGTCTCTTGAAGTACTTAAACCAAAACAGCATCAACACATAAACTAATTGAAACCAAACAAATAAATAATAGCAATGATTGACCAAACTAGTAACTCTGCTTCTTCTGTGTGCCGGGCAAGCCAGAAACTTTGATACCTCACCTAGATGGAATAGTTAACAAACTGCTTGTACTTCTACAGGTGTGCAAATATAGGCACCAAACACATACTGCAGCAGCACCATCTTGCCAACGACCTGTTCGATGCATCTAACACTATAAGTAAACCATCAACCTAAGAAGACACTAAGAAAATGGAAAGCAGTTGATCATTTGAGTTTAATTTGAAATAGAATTAAGTCAAACTTCAAATTTTGTGAATTGGAAACTCAAAATAACCAAAATTATTACTATATAGCAAGCCAAACCCAAAAAAGAAATTGAGGTTAATCATAAATTAGGTAACTTACCCATATCTGAACCATTCAAGTGGACATTTTCAAATTCAAGGTCATCATCATCCTCATTATTACCTAAAACATTCCTTTGTAGTTTCACCTCTATGCCATTTGTAAGAACCTGCAATTTATTCAGTGAACCAAGCATTTAAATGAATTCCAAAAAATCAAGTAGCAACATATCACAACAATTTGGGTACACAATACGAGAATACACCCCTCCCCCCTCAAAACCCCACACATATATGTAGAGAGCTACCATAAGGTTGAATTAAAAAAGGAAAATCATAAATACTGAAATATGGTGGCATTAGACAATAAAAGAGAAAATCTACCTACAAAGTTGTAAAGTTCTAATGAGAGGATCTTCATGAAATACAGGAGAGCAAAGTATAAAAAAGAAAATACTAACCAGAGGTTGAAAATTAGGGGAAAGGAAAAGAGAGCAAGGAAGTCCACCAGTATACAAACAAATAGAAGTAATCATAAAATGCGTTAAACTTGGAAATCAAGACTTCAACATAAAAAAAAAAGGGAGCAGACTTAGAATAGACCAGATGGCTATACCAGGACAATTTCATTTGCATCTACATATTCAACAAAGATATCAAGTTCATACAACAAAGTTTGGCCAATATCATCAGCGAATTTCAAATTCATTAAAATTGCTATCAAAAGTTCTAAACACAACAAAAGAACAAGGTGGGTAACTAAAGGAATAACCAGCCCTGCAGAAATGGCAATAAAAAATTTTCCATCAGTGCATATCATAGCTAAAATCCTCGTACATCTCAGAAGCTCTTGTGCAGTAAAACTCAACTCTAACACTACGATTTTAGTTGTTGTTAGCACATCTCCTAAGGCGTAAGGTAAACTCCGTCAAACATTTTATGATCAACGGTGGTAATTCCTAATCTTACAAACAGATTTAGAAAGAGAACTGGATTATATCTTACATCGACATGCTATTACACTTCACTACTGGTGCGGCATATCTACAAATATGAGGTTTGCCAAATGTATTTAGTTTCCAGTTTTTAAACACAAGTTCATGTAGAACTGAACGTTCTTTTGCAATGAATAAAAATAGAATATGCATGTGCAGTTAAGAAACCACTTACATAACCAAGAGACCAACAGTTGAATTGAATTTGATCTAAATATGAATACTTTTTCACAATCGAAACCATAAGCAAATCAATTACACCCCTAAAATCATCTGGTTCAGCAGATGGAACGTTAACTTTAAGGAGGCAATAGCCTAATTAGTCTTAATAATTCATCTTAGCCAATATATGTGGCAAATAAAGTCTGATACATAACTCTGATATTTAGCAAAATCACCTAATTGTGACTTCCTCAAATCCATGATCATTTTTTTTGTCATATTGGCAAATTGCTTGACACTCAGCCAAAAGATGCTGACATTCCATGATCCCTTTTCCATGACCTTCAATCCAGTAATAGCCAAAACCAGTCTAAATAAGTTCACATACATATTCTTAGTCAACCGTGATTTACCGATCTAATAGTCCAGGCTAACAATTACAGACAACGGTAATAGAACTTTCTAGGAAACAAGAATACTGCTTAGGCTATTCCTTGAAAGAAACAACAATGTGTTAATGCAGTAAAACATGATTGATTAAATTCCACAAGTGTTAGGTCAATAGTCATGCCTCTTATGACTGATGTATACTCTCTTGTCATTAGAGTAATCTTACCACCAATGCAGTAGGATAACTATAAAAGGTAACCAAAATAATTGAAGTAACATAATTGTGTTACTAACCTTTGAATTTTTTTATTCACATAGCATTTATATTCTCATTGAGTTTCTTTTAGTGCCGCTGTTTGCCACCAAACTGACATAAAACAGTCAATGAAAAGAAGCATGTGCAAAATCAGTCTAAAGGAATAGCTAAAGAAATCAAAAAATTCTACAATTGGCTAGAACAAAACTTATTTTTTCTATGGAGAAGGAAGGAGAAAGAGCAAAAATCTCTAGAACAATACCTCATTGCAGAGCGCTCTTATCTCTTAAGCGTCACAACCTCTCAGAGAACTTTCTTTGACACAACCTGAAGAGAACCAAGAAATTTGGACATGCATAAGTAGAATCAATTAAGAGAAGAGCTAAAGAACAGGTAGTTCTAGAACAGCCATAACATGTATATGGAATTCGAAAAGGGCAGAGGAAAAATTTCAGGAAAAAAGATAATCAGAAGCCAGGAAAAAGATGATGTAAGAGAGGGAGAAAAAGCGCTCTGGGAAACCACA